TCGGTCACTCGGTGTAGCTATGACAGACATTGAAACTTTTTATGAGGTGAGGTCACTTCAAGTGACCTGGTGACCTGACCTTGAATGACCTTGGTCTGAAATTTTCACAACATGTGTAGAATTGATGTATGATAAGGTGTACCAAAAACGGCGGCGCTCCGCGCCGCCGTTTTTGAGATATTCGCGAAAAACCACAAGGGGGGTGTTCAAACACCCCCCCCCCCCAGCAGGGCGCGGGTTAACAGATAACAAACAGATTGAAAACATTAACAAGTCGAGGACACCTGCGTTTAGAGTTAAATGATGAAGCCATTAAAACAACTATTTGAATTAGTAGCTACTAGCTGCCGCTGTTGTCGCTGCTACCGAAGCTGCCGCTGTTGTCGCCGCTTCCGAAGCTACTGCTGCTGTCACTGCTACCAAAGCTGCCGCTGTTGCCACCGCTTCCAAAGCTGCCGCTGTTGCCACCGCTTCCGAAGCTGCCGCTGCCCATGCTACGCATGCTGCCATCGCTGCTACCGAAGCTGCCGCTGTTGTCGACGCTTCCAAAGCTGCCGCTGTTGTCACCGCTTCCAAAGCTGCCGCTGCTGTCACCGCTTCCAAAGCTGCCGCTGTTGTCACCGCTTCCAAAGCTGCCGCTGCCAATGCTTCGCATGCTGCCATCGCTGCTACCGAAGCTACCGCTGTTGTCGCCGCTTCCGAAGCTGCCGCTGTTGTCACCGCTTCCAAAGCTGCCGCTGTTGTCACCGCTTCCAAAGCTGCCGCTGTTGTCACCGCTTCCGAAGCTGCCGCTGCCCATGCTACGCATGCTGCCATCGCTGCTACCGAAGCTACCGCTGTTGTCACCGCTTCCAAAGCTGCCGCTGTTGTCACCGCTACCAAAGCTACCGCTGTTGTCACCGCTTCCAAAGCTACCGCTGTTGTCACCACTTCCGAAGCTACCGCTGTTGTCACCGCTTCCGAAGCTGCCGCTGCCCATGCTACGCATGCTGCCATCGCTGCTACCGAAGCTACCGCTGTTGTCGCCGCTTCCAAAGCTGCCGCTGTTGTCACCGCTTCCAAAGCTGCCGCTGCCCATGCTACGCATGCTGCCATCGCTGCTACCGAAGCTACCGCTGTTGTCACCGCTTCCGAAGCTACCGCTGTTGTCACCGCTTCCAAAGCTGCCGCTGTTGTCACCGCTTCCAAAGCTGCCGCCGTTGTCACCACTTCCAAAGCTGCCGCTGCCCATGCTTCTCATGCTGCCATCGCTGCTACCGAAGCTACCGCTGTTGTCACCGCTTCCGAAGCTGCCGCTGTTGTCACCGCTTCCAAAGCTGCCGCTGTTGTCACCGCTTCCAAAGCTGCCGCTGTTGTCACCGCTACCAAAGCTGCCGCTGCCCATGCTTCGCATGCTGCCATCGCTGCTACCGAAGCTACCGCTGTTGTCACCGCTTCCGAAGCTGCCGCTGTTGTCACCGCTTCCAAAGCTGCCGCTGTTGTCACCGCTTCCGAAGCTGCCGGAGGAGCCAAAGCTGCCTGAAGAGCCATAGGGCTTCCTTACGACCCTTGCGGCGGTGAGACCGATGAGCAGGAGGACAGCCAGAGAGCGCATGGCGCTGTTTGCTGAGTTCTCCGGTGGAAAAGTGAGGATGGGGGCAGCAGGGTGCGTTTTTATACACCTGGGGAGCGCTCACGTGGCGTGAGCGTTTCTGCTGAGTAGGCACCCTTCCCGTGACGGCCTGCGTCGGCACCCTGTCATCACGTGCTCGTTGAATGCGGAAACTGTCGGGCATTTACGAACCAACACTTGCCAGTCCCGACGGAACAAGTGTGTTTTAAGACTGGGAATGACGATGTAAGCAGATGGTTAAAAAAAAACTGCGAATAAAACAATCGCTTAGCTATTGGCAGCAAGGCGCACTGAAAGGACAGGAAGAGATTGTGCACCCTCGTGCTATCGTGTGCACACTTGTGCTGGAGGCGCCAGCTGCCATTTGAAAGAGAGAGAAACGAATAGGTAGGGCACGGCACAAAAAAAAATATATACATATGTGGGAGCTATGCTTTGACCCGCTCTGAAGCGACGAATACCGAATGTGGTTGGCCTGTTGTCTTATCAAATTTTCCTTGTTGACTTCCTTGTCGACTGCCATAAAATAGTATTTTTTCTCAAGACTTCTCCTCAACAGTTTACATTTTCAACCGCCATTGTTGCTGTTCTGGAAATAATTGGAATTAAAATTTCTAACTATTTAAAACTGTCTTCCAAATATCAAATATAAATTATTATTACAGAGTGACCCGAAAAGTGCAAAGATCAGAGCGAATTTTATCAAAACATTCTAGTTATCTAGCTTACTTATTCTAATTAAAACTGGCTCAAGTGTGTAATCACTAATCAACTTGGCTTATGGCCATGATTTTTTTTTCAGACGATATATTGACTTCTGAAGGTGGGAGTCTCTTTAAATTTGAAATACCTGCCAAATTGAGTTGTGGATTTTGATAAGGCAGATTAGGTTGGCATATTCAGCAGTAATGGTGGAAAACTTGGTTCCTATTTCATTCAATTAAAGGCGAAGAAGCAAAACAATCAGCATTTCATTCAAAAGATGGAAATCCTTCTAACAAACAACTACCTACCAGGGGCGGAGCTTCCTATTCAGCTCGCGCGGCGGCTGCCCCACCAACTTGGTACTTTTTGCCCCACCAATAAGCGTTTTGCTCCACCAACTTTAGCTGATTTTTAAGACTTTGTTGCATTGCAAATTAATCTTTTTCGCATTGAAGAGCTTTGGAATGTCCGTTTAAACTTCGCCCCAGTGGGGGGGGGGGGGGCATATGTTACCACCCTGTCGCGTTTTTAGCGTGTGAATAAAAAACCGCGGCGCCCAGCGCCGCGCTGTTGGAGTATCTTTTTGTGCATCAATTTTGGACAATGTATGAAAATTTTGACCCCAGGTCATGTCAGGTCAGGTCACCAGGTCAAGTTAACTGACCAAGCCTAGAAAATGTTTGCAAGCATGTCCACTTCCAGCCTGCTGTGTTTGTCAGAGAGGTTTTCAACTTGGTGGATTGCATGATGTTATAGGCGCCTATAATTTGTATATCTCGGATTTTTTATATCCGTGACCTAAGGTCAGGCCAATGGCGTGACCTTTCCATTATAAGTCAATGGAGAAAAATGAAAATGCCTCTAGATCCGTGTGTACGCATAGGAATAGTCCAAATATTTCAGAATCGTCACAATGAATAGGACCACCCAGTGAAGACCGAGGTGTCTTTTTTGCTGATAGCCTCTAGAAAGGTCATCCGAGGTCATTTGAGGCTACAAACACATTTTTGCCACTAACTCTCGATTGGAAAGAGATAGAACGCTGGGGATGGCCTCATGTGTTTGTCTTGTTTAGACGTATCGACTGATATGCAACATGACCTATTCCGGTCAGGTCATGACCTTGACCTGAGGTCAAATTTTCAAGTTGACCTTTCAAGGTCAAATTATAATTCATTCGACGTGTCTCGGCGAGAGGAACACGATTTTGGCAATAGAAATGTCGTGGCTTTTTTTAGTCGAAAGTTATTGTCGAAAAACACGTTTCATAAAAACAGCTATTTTTGGAGTTTTTGCCCTCTGGAGGCTAAACCGTTGACCTGAGGTCAATTTTGATAATAATTTTATCAAAAGAAGAGTTCGAAAGCTATCGATTGCTTTTGCATGCGTTTTTCTAGCTATCATAGTTCCTGAGATAACGGCATGTTTTCTGCAAAATATAATGACATTTGGCAAATTTTGACCTTTGATGACAAAAGATGTCATCTCTTTCATCATCTAAGATGAAAGATGACAGAAATACTTTCAAACGTACGCATTAAGAACTATCGACTGCTTTTTACCGCGTCTTTCTAGCCCTCTTAGTTGTTGAGTTAGAGGTGGGTGGTAACATATGCCCCCCTCCCCACTATGGCGAAGTTGGCTGAGACTGCCACTGGGGCGCGGGTTAATGCAAAATGTTATATCTGTAATGATAGGAATTGATTCAGTGTAACACTTTATTCAACTTCATAATCGGACATTGTGGGTTTGACGACTTTTTGCCCTACCAACTTCCCTGGAAAAGCTCTACCCTAGACCCATGCTACCTACTAAAATTTATCAAGTACCTACCAAGCGGATCAAACGAATGAAAAATGTGCTCAATAGTCAATATACCGTCGTGAAAAGGACCATATCGAGAGATATCAAATGCTCTTTGGTCTTCCCCTCCTTTAACCGCTTTTCTAATCAACTCAATGAAGATTTCACTTGCTTTTTGCAGACAATAAACTGTCGCTGGAAATATTGTTTGAAATTTAGTGGACAAGTTTTCCCAAGCGATGCCTATAGGAAAGCAGACGAATACATTTGTTCATCTAGACATAGTGCTGCGAAAGGTGCAACATAAATAATGACTTCTTGTGACGTCATCAGTACCTACCTAACCCAATGACCAATGCACCTATATATCTCACCTGGCATCGTTGACGGCTCATTTGGAGGCCATTTGAATGTTGAAAATCAGCCGAGTTATAGTCTGGCAAACCTAAGAAAAACAGATTTGAAGTGCATCTGACATCGATGCACGTGTTTTTATATAATTCCAATATAACCGAGAACATTTTTTTCGTGGCGTTTCGGAAAAAAAAATATTGGACTATGCACTTGCAGTGGTCAAATCACGCGCAATATTCGGGGTGTAAGGTCTACCACCACCCATCAACAGAGTCCCGGAATAGTCATGCTGTTTCTTGTGATCTGGCATAGCTGCAAAAATGTACCTGTATTTTCAATAATTACCGTCAGACATGGCTCAGCAAGGTGAGAAGAGCACAAAACTGCAAAAATTTCTTCATAGGGGTAATGGGGCTCCCACAAAGTGTCATTGAAGTTTCGCTGCCCCCCTCCCATCACACACACACTTTTCGTGAGGTTCCTACGCCCATGATTACAGTCATGTCGTCCAGAAGTTCACGCTTACCTGGATCCAAGAGCGGTCGTCTTTCTTCGCCACGTCTTCTTGGACTGAGTCTGAGTCTAAGGGGTCGGCTTGAACCCTGCTCTCGAGCACTGGCACTGACGGGGATTCGGGGACACTCTTGACTTCTGAAAGCACGCACCCCGGCGAGTCGCTCGACATGGTTTTGCCACAATCCGCCAGCTAGAAGAGAATTGACGCACAAAGGATCACGGGAAGGTCTGCTTCTCAAAATTTTCCGCCTCTCGAAGGACCAGCAAGCATCACCAAAACTGGCTAGGTCACTACACACAACACTGCAAGAGGCGGACCAGCAAGCATCACCAAAACTGGCTAGGTCACTACACACAACACTGCACGTGCACGTGCTTACGCATAGGTTGATAGAAAAACATGCAATGCCTTTGTCGAGGACTAATGGCTAAAACAATATGTCGAGACGCGATACACTCATGTTCACCTGCACGTGACAGGGTGTCGACACCGCCTCCCACTGTGGATCCATACAGAGGGCATAAACACACGCGAAACCAATACCAACCTTTTTGTGTGTTGTTGTCCCTCGACAATTACCGATCAGCGCTGTGTTAATTATGAATGCTGCGGTGGCATGTGGTCAGATAGTGGGCTTAGAATAGTAAACGAACACAAGTAGGAAGATGAAAGGTAGTACTGATGGAAGGTAAGAGGATGGAAGGTAGCACTGCTTTCTGTGGATAGGGATCATTCGTAAAGACCTGAGCCACACATTGCACCGATGCGAGCACATGCAATGCACGGGCGGTATCGCAACTATACCTAGTTGGTAGCTTCGTAGGTAGACGAGTTACCTAACTATCTAACCTACCAAGGCTCTATAGAACCTACTATAGTCTGGCAAACCTAAGAAAGAACGGAGTTAAGGCGGCTGAATCACTTTGCACGTGTTTTGATCGCTTGAAATGTATGGTTCGGTGAAATTTGTGTGAACAGTTGTGACCAAGGCCCTAAAACATAAGGTTGGACGAAGTTTCTTACCAACAAGGTACTAGAATTTGTCGTGATATTTCGTCCTTGCAGTTGTTTCTGTACAAATATAGAGCAAACAAGCATGTTTTCTAATAGTATGAAAGTTTGAAAGGAAATAATAAGTCACTTTACATTTGATTCACAAAAAGCCATTTCGAAATCAAATTTAGTGTAGTTTTGATCAAACTCTAGTCGACTTATCCAGTATCTACTTAATTTTCCAGATGCGTGGTTCAGACAAACACGTTGCTATGGGCGGTTGCTAAGGACGCTATCTCGTATTTGCAGATAGTTTTGTTGTTATGAATATATATTCCCGACCGGGGCTGGGAAAATGCGTTTTATTCACCGAGGTTTTTGTGCGGAGGACCGAGTGCCGGTAGGCACGAGGTCCGTAGCAAAAAACCGAGGTGAATAAAACTGCATTTTCACAGCCCAAGGTTGGGAAGAGATTTACCATATGCAGCAATAAATACATTGGCATTGGAACGATAACCTTGTTTAGTTGAATTACGTTGACAGCAAAAGTAAGTAAACACGCAGTCACTTACTTTTGCTGTTGCTGTTAGTGAACACACAATCCGTAAATATCTTCTTTGAAATTGGTTCTTCCGCTCAGAATATTCAGTAAAATTTTGTCTGGGAAAATCAAAAAGCCCTAGGGCCGAATCGTTTCCCAAATACCTTCAACATTAGCCGAGGCGGGCCGAAGCCATTTCCCAAATGCACGTGCTAATGTTAAAGGGATATCTCGGCATGTGGTAAATAGGGTAAAACAAGCCCTTTGGATATTTTCCTGTATTTCGGGGCTCATTGATTTATCTAGCTTTGGCATAATATTTTTACTTTATCATATCATGGTTCCAGACACAGGTGGTTAATTTCAGCGCGTAAAGAAATAATAATAAAGACTTAACATGTTATACAGAATGCAAGACGCCAGTCCCTGGTGGTAAAGTGAATGATACACAGAGATAGGGGAGAGTGGGGAAAGATGCCCAGGGTTTTGCTATCTCATATATTATTCGAAAATGACGATCGGAAGGCAAAAACTTGGAGTTTCAACGGAAACCGACATCGTTTTTCTCCAAAAATATCACACTTTCGTGTCTGAAATATGATAACTTTTTTTGCTTTTGGTGATTTTGGAGATTTTGGTGGGAGGGAGATTTTGGTGATCTCTTATCAGAGCTTTGGCGATCTTCAATCAGATCTTTGGTAATCTCTAATCAGGTCTTTGGTGATCTCCCATTAGATCTTTCGTGGTTTCCAATGAGATCTTTGGTGGTATACAATCAAATCTTTGGTTTTCTCTCAACAGACCTTTGGTGATCTCCAATCAGGTCTTTGGTGATCTCCCATCAGATATCTGGTGATCTCCATGGCTCCGCGATAACGTACCGCCGCTGACCGGCCATGCTCTCTCACGGTTCGTCGGAAGGTCATCTCAGGCTCAAAAGAAACGGTATATACCATTCAAAAGCTGACGTTGAGCTGAATCCAAAAATGTATTTTTTATAAAAATCGATCGATGGCCTTTTTTAAAAATTGCGTTTTTGTAAAAACTTAATAATCTTTTATTCAACGGGCTGTCCCGGACATTCTTGAAAACATAAACATGTATTTTTGAGTTCCAGTGAAAGCTGAACGCCAAAAGAACAATATTTAGCGAAGCAATATTCCAAACATTAATATGCGTCTCCCACAGCCGAAAATAAGGCGCAATCACACAGCTCAGTGTCACGATGGACCAAAGTCAGCCACACAGAAGCGTGAAATGACCCTTATCGACTCGCAGACCCGGCGCTCTCGGCCCGCCTGACCGGCCACGGAAAGAACGTTCGGCTCTCGTTCTACTAAACAAATGCCATATTTGTCACTTTAACTGTCCACATCGCTATTAAAGTTATTCAGGATACCTGTGAAGAAAATTCATTGTTCTGCTCGATTTACAACATGCTTTAATTTACATTTTTCTTATGCATGTTTTGTTCCATCCAGCTGCGATCAGTGCCCGCGCAGGGGAAGTGAGCGAGGTTTCACTGTCAGAGGCTGTACTGGTGACAGCTGCTCGGCCGTGCGACCGGTCAAAGGTTACCCTGCCCCGCCGGGCGCTACCCCCACTCCACCCGAGCTGAGGCCGGTGCAGCCTGTGACATTTCAGCGCGGCCAATTTTCCTTATATGGGCATGATACCAAGCTCAATTGAGCAAAGTAGACATGAACAAATGCAAATTAATGGCTGATGTGAAGATGACAGAACAATGAATTTTCTTCACAGGTATCCTGAATAACTTTAATAGCGATGTGGACAGTTAAACTGACAAATATGACATTTGTTTAGTAGAACGAGAGCCGAACGTTCTTTCCGTGGCCGGTCAGGCGGGCCTAGAGCGCCGGGTCTGCGAGTCGATAAGGGTCATTTCACGCTTCAATGTGGCTGACTTTGGTCCATCATGACACTGAGCTGTGTGATTGCGCCTTATTTTCGGCTGTGGGAGACGCATATTAATGTTTGGAAATGTTGCTTCGCTAAATATTGTTTTTTTTGGCATTCAGCTTTCACTGGAACTCAAAAATACATGTTTATGTTTTCAAGAATGTCCAGGACAGCCCGTTGAATAAAAGATTATTAAGTTTTTACAAAAGCGCAATTTTCAAAAAAGGCCATCGATCGATTTTGATAAAAATTACATTTTTGGATTCAGATCACCGTCGGCTTTCGAATGGTATATATCGTTTCTTTTGAGCCTGAGATGACCTTCCGACGAACCGTGCTCTCTGTTACAGTAAGGGTAGCGTCGTGGTCGACTACTACCTCCTGCTCAACAACGCAGTGGGCGAGTTGAGCACGCAGGACGTGAACGTGCTGTTCAAGGAGAAGCTGCGCGCCACCACCATGGAGATGTCGGACGGCGAAGAGCAGACCGTGCTGCAGATGGGCAGCCTCTCCATCGACCCCGGATTCACTGACTTTGTCGGTAAGTTGGAAATCGTAGCGGTAAATAAAAAGTTATATCTTGGTGTAAGACAACTATTTATTACATAATTATGGTCATTTATTACGCTACGTTTATATTAGCCTTTTGGAACACACAACTATCCAATAGCAAAGCTTATCATGGCGCCCTAATCTGCGAAATGTAGGGAAGAGTGGGGAAATATGCCCAGGGTTTTACTATGTCATAAATTATTCGAAAATGACGATCGGAAAGCAAAAACTTGGAGTTTCAACGGAAGCCGACATCATTTTTCTCCAAAAATATTACACTTTCGTGCCTGAAATATGATAACTTTTTTTTGCTATCAAGCATTTTTCTGAAAAAGTGAAAGGGGGCATCTTACCCCACAGGGTGGGAAAGACGCCCCCTGGCGTTGGGTAAGATGCCCCCTGCACTACAGGTGACATAAATAGGCACGTTAATCGCCTGAACGAATCAGTAGTCCCTTCGAGCCTGCAGTAGACAACAAACGTCATCGTAAGGGCCCTCAAAAGTAGTCGTAAGGGGCTTCAGAGGTCATCGTTAGGGCCATCATAGTCCAGCGCGGCCAAACAAGCCTCCGTGGTGGCGTTCGGAGACCACTGTGGGGCCCTTAGGTCTTCATGATGCTTGAGGGCCCCCGAGCCCATCGTGGGGACCTCAAATGCCAGCGCGGCCCGTGGAGCCAACGTGGGAGCCCTCAAAGGATGTCGTGAGGGGCCCTGGAGCTAATAATGGGGCCCACAGAGGCCGTCTCGAGGGCTCTCAGAGTCAGATGCCGCCCAAAAAGTCGCTGTTTGGGCCGAGAGACCGGCGTGGGGAGCACCCGACCGTACTGGACTCTAAATAGTCCCAAATCGGCTTTTGTTTCTCATCACAAGTATGTAATAAATGATTTGACGGGTTCCTTGAAGGCCAGCCTACGGATTTAGGGGGGGGGCGTCTTTCCCCATCAGGACAGGGGGCATCTTACCCCAAGGTACCGAAGTAACATTAAATCTGTATTGTTAGCCATAAAACTACACCCTGAAACAAACTGTTTGGGACAAAGTACACGCATGTTAATGTATCACGACTATAGCAAGGGACGCAAAAATTATCTACCTTCTTTGATATTTACAATGTTTTGACACCAAAATATTTTTTGAAAGCAGCAAATAAAAAACATGCAATCACCAGCCAGTCGTTTCCCAACTGAGCTTCGCAAATTTTTGTGCAGTTAACAAGGCAGGCTTCCGCTTTACGCTAAGAACATTAATTTCCAGGTTCGATTCTTTGTTTCGCCGCTAGAGGGGGTGGGGCGTCTTTCCCATCCTGGGCATCTTACCCCACTCTCCCCTATCTGTTTTTATCCCGGTAGAAGCATCCTTGTGATCTAAGTGTGATCGATCATAAATTGTCTGAGAATCAGAAGTTTAGCTATAAGTCAAGAAC